TGGCCCAACTTGAAAGTTCTGGTCCGGCGCGACTGTAGGTTCGATAATTCCAAAAAAATAATTCTGCAGGCCGTTTAGATCGAAATTTGGGACACTTGCAGATGTCCACCGTGGTTAAAACTGGACAAAATTTCAAGTGTTTAGTAGCTCCAGTTTGGGTGTAAGGATTTTTTGAAAATGACCCAACTTGAAAGCTCTGGTCGGGCGCGACTGTAGGTTCAATAATTCCTACAAAATAATTTTGCAGGCGGTTGAAATCGAAATTTGTTACACTTGCAGAGGCCCTCCGTGGTTAAATCTAGACAATTTTTTAAGTGTCTAGTCACTTCAGTTCGAGCGTAAAAAAGTTTTGAAAGTCGCCCATATTGAAAGTTCTAGTTAGGCTCGACTGCAGGTTCGCTAATTACTACAAAATAATTCTACAGGCCGTTTAGACCGAAATTTGGGACACTTGCAGATGTTCACCGTGGTTAAAACTGGATAAAATTTCAAGAGTTTAGTCGCTCCAGTTCGAGGGTGAGAGTTTTTGAAAAAGACTCAACTTTAAAGTTCGAGTCAAGCTCGAGTGTAAGTTTGTTAATTCCTGCCTAATCAATCTGCAGTCCGTTTTTTATACTAATTTAAAACTCGATTAAGCATGATTTTGAACAAAACGCCTTTCAAGTGCCATCAAACCGTACCACCAAATAGATACATTTCCGGACGTGGTTCTTCTACTCAAACGGTCCATCGATGCCCTGCACACTCCCTAAAAGTGTGATTTCCTAGTTCTGAAACCCTCTGTAAGAAAACTGGCGAATTTTTCGGGCTCCTAAATTCCTAATTCGTCCTGATAACCCGAAAAACTCACCAGTTTCAAAGCGTTTTCCAGTCTGTGAACGGCCAGCTAATAAAGATCAAAGCCGCCGTTTCAGTCTGAGACAATGGCCTCAGAACTTAACTATTTTGAACCCTGTTCGAATATTGTCGCATTTTCAACTTCCGCCTCACAACCGGAACCCCAGACGAGCAGAAATAGTCGGCAACTGTGCTCAACAAAGTCAACTCACTTCAATGGCCAAAAAAATGAGTTTCAGACCCTTTCAGGGCCAATTCCAATCCAAATAGCATAAACAATAGCAGAATAAATTGAGCCGGTATTTGCGGGCGATAAATAAATACTGGCTGCCCACCGCTCCACCTACGGGCGCTCAAATGAGTCCGCTGGGCCCCAAAAACAGCACTTTATAGCCGAAGTGGCCGCAATGTTGGGGTCCATATTAATGGGCACGAATAAGGCATCCTATAAAATCAGACTGAGACATAAAGAATGCAAAGGCTGAACGGAAGGACCCTCCAAAAGAAGAAAAATCAGGGGCACGCGTCGTACCAGCGCAGCAGGGTAGCGCGAGGCGATGCACCTTTGCTGGGGCCCCCGTTCGACACCTGTACCAGTATGAATGTGAATGTGCATGCAGCAGGTGTGGAACAGGCAATGAATCCTGCCAGGGTGGGCTTAGGGTGGCACGTGCCTTTTTGCACCACCCTCTTTGCAACCGACACTTTTCACCTATTCACTCGCAAAAAAATTGTTTTGTTTGCGACAACCTGTTTGATACGAATTTTAAAGTTCCCTTCTACGAAAGTGCTCTTCTGCGATCGGTCCTGAGGCACAAAATCCTCTGGTTTGCGTGCTAATTTCCTGAATTTTGCCGTTGACTACACACGTTTTTATACTCTTAGGATTGAGTCCAAATACGCTTGTCTACCACCTTCTATCTCCCTAATCTCCAAATAATGTTCTGTGGGCGCATTTTACATTTTTGTGGCATCAACGGTGTGATGTTCTTGAGGCGTTTTTCGCAGGACTGCAATATAAGCTTCATATCTTTTTATGTTCAAGTTTTGATACAAAATTAGCAGATTTAAGGAAATTTTTTATATTATCTAGACATTATTCTCACTTGGTCCCGAAGTTACCAATATTAAACCCGTCTACGGAAAAATGAGGAAATAATAGAACGAAATAATCATGGCCCAAATGTGGTCAATGTCTCAAAAACCGCAAGATGAAGAACGCATTTCTCTACTTACTGTTGTGCGTTTTATCGCTTGTTTCATTTCTTCGCAACATGGAAATATTTAGGTTTCTGGAGATTATTTTCAACAATACGTGCAGAAAACGAATCTGATATGGAAAATGTCCTCAAAATCCAGAAACTTAAAAAATCGCGTGAGATTTAGCGACCAGTTTTTCGGCAGGAAATGTACCGAAAAACGATTTATTTTAACAGCAGGCTGATATATTGGGTGAATAACCAAAAAAAACCTTTTTAACACTACATCCTAATCATCATCAAATTATATTTTTTCTTTCCTGGGTTTCAGTCAAAATGTGAAATAAAAATGTTCATATCGTTTATTTCATATTTTTACGTTTCGGCGAGACAACAATGGGTTTGTTTTGAATTTAACATCTGATGATGGCGCTGTTGATATGAAATAAACGATATGAACATTTTTATTTCACAATTTGACTGAAACCCAGGAAAGAAAAAATATAATAACAAATCAAAATCCTGCATAAATCCATCATTTCTGTAGGTGAATCAAAGGGCTATTCCTGGCCTGCAAGTCGAAGTACGTTTACGGTTTTTGAGAGAGTGACCCTTCGAAACCGATGCGGAAGAGCTTCTTCAGCCGCAAGATCTGGTTTTCGAAGTTACCTCGTTCTTTTTTTTGTGAGTGTTAAAATTAAATCAATTTTAGAACGGGACGCTCTGAATAATAAATATTGCAATTTCACAATTTAAATATATGAATCCTTAATTTCCTCAACTGAACCAGGCAAAAAAAAATGATTTTTACGGGCTCAAGAGCTGCAACTAAACAGGATATAAAACCCTGCCTGCATGCCTTAATTCGAAATAAACCATTAATAAATGCGAAAAGCAATTAAGATTTTTGGAAATAAATAAACATAAAATCAGATTTTGCATCCGGCAATGTCGTTTATATCTTCCAGTGGGCAGCTGAGGGACTGTTAATTAATTTTAGTGCCGATACGTCAGCATATAATGCAGAAGAGCTTAACCTACATACCGTTAATTAAGGCAGTTCATCTTTGTAATTAGTGAACATATTTTATTTGCTTTTAATGAGTAGCTTTTTTCGATTGAGGTTTTAATAAGCTCGCCGTTTTTAACTTTCTCCACCCTTAAATTATCGGGGAAACATCAGATTTTCCACACCAAAAAAACAATTCTGATTGATTGCGCCAAGGAAAGCTCCATGTGAACTGAGCGTGGCAAGTTCCTTATTTGTTCACTCCATATATGAATAAAATCATGCATTTTTATTGGCCATAAATAACGATTTATTAAGCAAACTGCTACCGATTATAAAGCCATTGAAATTCCGTAAACGTTTTCCAGCATAAGATGCACAATCTTTAGAGATTCCACTGATATGTCCGAGTGTATTATGTCCACTCATCGGGAAATTAATCGGCCTATTGACGATTGAAAAACTGTTAAGAAAATCGACTATATCAATAATTCTTTGGCCATCAAGTAGCGGATTTATTTCTTAGATAGAAAATCTATAGAACTCGATGGAAAAAAATCGACCACCGCATGAGAAACTCGACTAACAATAAAATAATAAGCCATAAAACGGAACGATGGCTGTGATAAGGCTGAGTAGAAAAAGCGGTCGTAACTTAAAATTGTAAAGCTCATGCTGGCTCAGAATACTTATGAACTGTAATTTAATTCATCGCAAGAGAAAAACGATAATTTATCCGGCAAGTTCAGAAATTCAATGCAGAAATAGATGTATAATACTGATTTATAGATTACGAATTATGATGTTTACGTTTCTTTGGTCAACTGGAAGATATCGAAAACTGGCAGCTCATTATGCGACTCGAGGTTTTTTCCAACTGCTTAAACTGTAAATTACTTCACTGGTTTTTCACTCAACAAAGAAACAGTCTGGTAATTACCAACCGTCCAAAACTCATATGACCATCGCGCCTGAATGCTCGTTAATCAAATCGCATTCCTCTGTACATTTCTCGCGAACGAAACTAAATTAAAAATCGAGTACTGCATGTGTATGCACCATAAAAAATGCAGTCAACAATAAATTAAATTAAAAAACTCTAATTTATCAGCTTAAATGTAGGGAACTTATAATAGGACCGGTGCTTCATGCAGATGGTACGAATTGCTTGTTGATGGCATTGTACATCTTGTATGCTGCTTCAATGAGACACACACGAATTTTTCACCGCATCAAAATCACCAACATTTCGATAGTGGGATTTTTTAAATTTGAAACAAATTTAATTTAAAGCGAAGTGCTGTTGATTAAATATCGAAAACGAATCTGAAATAAATGAAGCCATAAATTTTCTGGACGTTTTCCGCCTAATCGCGCTTGCTATTAACCTGCTGGACGCAATAAATAATCCTGCAGTCAGAATTTGCGTCTCGCAGATGCCAAAACAGATTTTCTCAAAACTCAGCCTAGACATTGTTAATTATCGATGAGTCTCCGGCAGTCGATTAAATGCGGCTCTGCGAGTTTCATTACGTAACCCAATTACAGAGAAAATTCATCCTGAGCAATGCACATGACCATAGAATGTTCGCTTAATTGAACGTGCACGATAAACCGATGAACACCTTCCGATATTATTATTTATTTTTTTAAACAACGTAGATTAAATCGCTCAACTGCCGATTGATGAGCGCAGATGGCCGAGAACTTTTTATTTATGTACTTCGGCACGTTTGGCTCATAAATCTGCAATTACAGATGACAAGGTAAACCAATCCCATTTTCAGTTACAATATGAACATGCCAGCAATATAAAAGAATGACCATTATTGGCGACACCCTCAGAAGGTTTCACTTTGAAAAATTCACTTGAGCCCTGAGGCAAAATGAAATTTTTGCGAGTTGAAATGTGCAGGTTTAAGGAAGGCGATTGGATGGGGCAAGTAGTTTCACAATCAAACATAAAAGTTTAGTCCAAAATATTAGTTTACAGGCTGCGCCGGACCAGTTAAAAACATTCACTAAAAAAAGACTAGAAAGATAGTAAAATAAATAAAACTTACATACTATTACTGATTATGATTAAGTTAACGTTTCCAGGAAATGTTCAAAAAACAACGATGCCGATGCCCTCAACCTACAATATTTCTGTCTACAACATGAGCAACAGAAACCCAACTAATGAAGACAAGCGCGCATTTATTGCTTTGGTATCGTACGGATAGTGTTTGGTCGCATTGATCGAACGAAACGGACGATCAGTAATTGATAGCATCTTCTGTCTAACACAATTTATAGAGAAAGAATAGAGTGATCCCAAGAACACTGTTCTCTTTGCAGACTTTGTCTCCTTCAAAAGTGTCCGATACTGTGCTCGTAAGCAAAGTAAACTTTGGGAAGTATTGGGATAAACCAGCATAAACGTCCCACTAGGAATAATGCCAAAATACGGACTAGTGGTACGTAAATGCGCGCTTACCTTAAAACTGTCTCAATACTAGTAATTTTTTTGATAAAAAATTTGCATCGCGAAACCAAGAAAACTGGAAATGACTATAACAGTGACCAGTTTTACTGTTAAGATTCAACATTAATATTAAACGGATTGAAACTCATGAATGAGACTGTAGCCAAACGCAATACTTACTCAACTAGTAACAGAAAGTGCAGAGAAAATGCCCTTAGGTATCACAATAGCTAGTTTACTTGAACTAGTCACTTACACCATCAACAGTTTTCAGCGTTTCAGTAGCATGAGGAACATCAATTTTCGGTTTTAAAACAAACATGTAAACCGCGTATAAACCTTTGGGAAAGTTTTGTTGCTTGACCAGCCTGTCACAGTCCAATCCTGCTTGATCAAATAACTTTTTTAGTACACCCAAGGGCCGTGTTACTGACGAATCGGTCGCATCCACATCCACATCGTCGGTTGAAGTTATGTTTTCTTTGGCAACTATCACCCCATTGGGTCTCAATCCTATTCTAAAAGACAAAGGTCCTGTTTAGGCAGAGGAAAATAAGCGTAGTCCTTTATTCTTACTTACTGGCAATTAACGAAGAATTTAACAAAATCGTCATCAGTTAAATGGCCGAGCACCCACTGCACCCAAATAACATCGTACTTCTTAGGCTCTGGCGCGAAATGTTGCAATCCCACAGGGAACATCACGCCCACCTTTCGCTCCATTAAGGACTGTCCCAAATATAGTTCAGCTGTCTCCAAAAAGGCTGCATTCTGCTCAACCATGTCCACTTGGTCGAATAACTCACTCAGCAGAAATTTGGTGATTCTTCCAATGCCCGCACCACAATCCAGGGCATAACTTCTACCTGGCGGAAACTTGGAGTTCAACAGTTGCTTCAAAAGGGTTTTGGAACCTTGGATGTCTGTAGTTGATACACTGCCCAGGCCGCCAAGCATGCCATTCACAGTAGCAGGCACTTTCGACCAATATTTGGCGGCATCCTGGTAGAAATGCTCAGGGGTGGACGTAATGTCATTAGCCATGTGAAATACTCGGTTCTGCCAGTTTCCTTTGGATCAGATTCAGGAAAATGACACCATAAACAATGAATGTTTAAGAAAAACAATATTCCCGGCACATGAAAGTTTGAGGTTAAGCAGGTGTTTGTCAAAAGTTGACAATGGACCAAGAGCAATGCTGCCAGATTTTCAAGCTCCATCAATACAGGCTTCTCGCAAAACTGCCATACGTGCGAGCGAGAGGTATATAACGCCACCGATTGTCATTGCCTACCCTTTTGTTTAATAAACAATGACATCACTTAACTAACCTGTCAACCAGTGTAAACAATAAAAACTTATTGCTGTTTGAGTTCACGTTATTTATTTCAAATACTATCATATAAAATTGAGAAAACTAATCAAGCTCTGTTGAAATGCGCGTTACCAATATCATCTTCAACTGGTTAACCGGTTATGTAATCGTACTGTGCTCAATGACATGTTGGGGGGCTGTTATGCACAAGAACTTTCATAGCCATGACACGCTGAACTCCAAGTCCGATGAAGGCAAACATGCGACAAATCGTGAAGAATACCAGGCCCATATGAATTCTGGTAAGTTAGTTTGGTGCTAAAAAGGCGCAAGTTCTTACCATTATCACAATTGCCCCAGTGTTTCAGAACAGTTTGATTCTATTAGCAATCGCTAACTAAATTTTAAGATATAGTTTATGTGCGTTACACTAGAAAAGCAGAGTTTCACCCTTTGTCTAGCCACCAAAGGCTAGATAAACTTAAAAAATTGCTCAGTATTCACATGAAGACTTACAAATCGTTTCTAATGAGATGAGCACAGAACCAACTTTGACCATGAGGCAATACTGGGCAGTGCCAAAATTTCGGAGGAGTTTGATGCGTTGCCCCCTGAACAATCGAAGGAAAGACTGCAAGCTCTCTTGAATGTCATGGATACATCTAGGGATAAATTCATTGATAGGTCGGAATTAATACAATGGATCGTCCATTCTTTCCAGTAAGAATCTTATGAAAATGGCATTAATTGCTCACCTATTGAACATGACCAATTTCAGAATGCTATCAGCTGAAGAAGCCAATGAGAAGTTTGACGAAACTGATGAGAATGATGATAAGCACATAAGCTGGAATGAATATATTCTGGAAAGTTATGGTTCGGAGGAGCTATCGCTTCAATCTAACTGGGCCGACAGCGTAAGGCGCAGAGTTTTTCTATTCATACGCTTATCTAATTCTCATCAAATCAAATATTTTAGGATGAAAATATTAGAATTGAATTTGAGCAAGATCAAGAACTGTTTAGGGCTGTTGATGCAAACAACGATGGCCTGCTAAATAGGCAGGAATTTTCTAAATTTACCAATCCGGAAGAGCATCAAGATTTGTCGGCACTTTTACTCAAACAAATTTTACGCAGCAAAGACACTGATAATGACGACGCACTCAATTTCAAGGTAACGCGATTCTTAGCCTCCCAATCAGCAACATCAGTGTAAAATTTTGTGCGACTTTAAGGAATTTCTAAGCGAGAAAGGGTCTCAGATGAGCAAGGAAGCCTTGATATCCCAGAAAGATGAGTTTGACGAATATGATATGAACAAGGACGGAAAATTAACGGGAGATGAAATTATCTATTGGATGTTTCCTCAAAATGAGTGAGTAATTTAACTTGGGTGTTACAAGTCGCGCTAATTTCAATGTTTGTAGAAAAATCGCCGAAGAAGAAACGACTCATCTATTCGCGCAATGCGACGACAATCACGACGATCTGTTATCTTTTGACGAAATCCTTGATCATCATGAGATTTTCGTGGGAAGTGAGGCAACCAACTATGGGGAACATTTGCATAATATTCACGAATTTACCGACGAATTGTAATATAGGTAAATTCCCATTGGATAGTGACATTCATTTTTCGGCCTCGGTCAGTAAGGTTTTCTACATTTCCAAGTGTTTATTTATATCTGAGTTCCTTTATTTGGAATGCGAATATGAGAAACCAAATCTGAAATGCCTCGAAGTCGTTTCTACTGGATGTGCTTTCAATTTTGTATAACTTGTCTGAATAACTTTTGTGCCATTTTAGTATGTATTAATTTATTACTTCCCTAGTTTAAAGTAAAAATGCCAAAAATAAAACTTTTTTGAAGTTCAGGTCTTTGTATTTGAAGGTGGAAGCGGTGGTTTATGGTCTGCAATTGATCTTTTTCGATAGCTTTTTATTTAATTAATTGATAAAAGAAATGATGCGATACCTCCGATTTGAGACTCAAAATGCGCGCATTTCTAAACGAAAAGTTGTCCAGTGTTTTGATGGGAATTTAACTAAACATTTTTACGCACACAAACAGCAGTTTGATTGTTTTTGTAAAAAATGTGTTGCTGATAATTTTGGGGGCCAAAATTCCTATAAACTAGGTAAAACGTGCAAAACCCCACAAAATACGTAGCTTAAAAGATCGGATCCTCATCCCATCAAAACTCACCGAGAAGATTTCGAGGATTTTTTTCATTCATTTAGGAAATGATTTCAGTATCAGCAAAAAGTCAGAATTTCCAACAAGTGCAACAAATAAATTTATTACAAATAACAAAGTGCATTTACCAGCAATAAGATTGATTTACATTAATTTTGCTTGGAATTTTGCAAAGCGCCAACCTGCCAAAAGCCTTCTAACTCCAAATCAACTTGAATCACATGCCGAGAGTGTTTCACGCACTTTTTAAGGTAACAACAAATATGTACAGTTAAAATTACAATAAGACGGCGTTTGTTCGAGAACAAACTAATATAGACCATAAAATTGAAGACAATGGAGGTTTTTTACAGCAAAATTGTATATCAATGAATAATAAAGTATGATAAAACAAACCAAAAATAAATAAATATTATTAATGACATTTTGGATGAACACTGAAGATACTCACCCGTGGTTTGTAATACTCACAATACATTTTCAATAAATAGGTAATATAGATTGGCCTTTTACAAAGGAATTTCGAAGTTAATGTCCAGCTTGGCATCTCTGGCCAAACTGACAATATTGGACAGCTTTACAGCCAATCGAGCGGCTTCATCCAGATTATCTACCGGCAATATTTTCAGTCCAGAACTGGCAATCAAGACTTTGGCGTCATCCACGTTCGTGCCTTGAAGCCGACAGACGATTGGCATTTTCAGGCTCAGCTCTTTGGCTGCAGCGATAATTCCTTCGGCGATTACATCGCATCTCATGATGCCGCCGAAAATGTTAACCAGTATGGCATGGACCTGGAAAACACAAGTTTTTTAGCACACGAAGAATTGACTTAGTGAATTAAACTACCTTTGGATCAGCGGTGATAATTTTGAAGGCTTCTTTTACTGCTGATGCGGTTGCACCACCTCCAACATCCAAGAAATTAGCCGGAGAACCGCCATGGAGCGAAATAATATCCATAGTAGCCATGGCTAAACCGGCCCCATTTACCATGCAGCCAATGTTGCCGTCCAAGGCAATGTAGTTTAGATCAAACTAAAAACGTAGAAGCAGCAAATAAATACTGGGTTTTCCTATTTATTAACTTTCAACAAAGTGCCTAAGACAAAGTTCTTACCTTGGATGCAGCCACTTCCTTCTCATCCTCTTGGGTCCAGTCCCGAAGAGCAAAAAGATCCTTCTGCCTAAAGGCCGCGTTATCATCAAACCGAAACTTGGCATCCAAAGAAAAATCTGCAAAAGAACAATATCCCATCACAGGCACAAATCGCGCTTTGGCATTTTTGGACGTACACTTTTCACCAGCATCTTCAGCATAGGGATTGATTTCGATCAGTAGCGCGTCCTTTTTAACAAACAAATCGTACATCCTCAGCAGCATTTCAGCAGTTTTCTCCTTCTGGGACTCCAGTCCGACCTTAACGGCAACTTTTTCAGCCTGCTCTTTGGTCAGTCCCTTAGTTACATCGACGGGCTCGTAGAGGATGGCATCGGGGTTTTCTGCCGCTACTTCTTCGATATTTACACCGCCTTGGGATGAGGCGATTATAACAGGGCCCTGAAAGAAGAGTTGAATGTTGTGGCATTAGTTTAAGGGTTTTAAACGAGAAACGGACCGCAAAGGCTCTTTCCATCATCACTGCAAAATAGAACTCTTTTCTGGGGAATTTTCGTTCGGCTACCATTACTGCGTTGCATATTCTCCCCTTTTCACCTGTCTGTTTGGTGACTAGATATTGTCCCAACATTTGGCCGCTGATGTCTTCTGCTTCATCAGGGCTAAAGAAAACCAGCCATTCCCAATGAAATTGAAGATAAAATAGTTTTTAGAAGCGTGAAAAAATGCAACAGGCTTTGAAATTTATCGGGTAATTATCTGAAAACAAATTACGATAATGCAAACTGATTTAGAGCAAGTCGGTCTCTATCCAAAACTACTCCCAAGAGCAAATTATACTTAATAGTTGTTATTTCATACAAACAAGTGATAATTGGAATGTTGATAACTGAGGGAAAAATACAACGTCAATAACCACTTTTGGTTCAAGTTGGGTCCTTGACCCTCTCGCGCCTTGGACAGTCAATGAGTAAACCAAGACAATACACTTACGAGTAAACCATTCTAACACCCCCTTTAAGTCCATTCTTGAATGAGCCCTTGCCACGACCACCTGCCAGCACCTGAGCCTTAAGGACCAAGTCCTTGGTGTTGAGTTTTTCTGCGATTTGGCGGGCTTCCTGTTTGGTTTTCGCCACTCCAAAGTTAGGCACTGTAATGCCAGCATCTTTCAACAAAGTGTAGCTGACGTGCTCGTGAACGTTAAGGTTCCTTTTCTGTTGCGTCTGTGGGTTCCAACGACTGTTGGCGACAGTCCCTAGAATCTAAAAATACACTTTATGTAATGTTTTATAAGTATGCAAGGTTACAAATCAAGGATTGATCGAAGGGACAAACTACAGTACCTTTGGGCAAGTTTTCGCCACGACATTCTCAGTTAAGGCTAAGGATCTGAGCAGGCTGGCCATGATAAACACTTAAACTGACGCAGTCCTAATCGTTACTAATTTTAATCAAATCGTGACTTTTTTAGACCTTGATTGATATTCTGGGTCACAATTTGTTCTATGATTATCATACGACAGTGACAGTGTCAACATCAAACAACAATGGATGACAGGTTTTTGAAAAACCGATGGGCGGAGTGCGCTATGGCAACTGGCAACAGTGCACAATGCAGTGGAATTTTATTTAAACATTCATATATGAAACTGAATTAATCAATTGTTACTTCCTGTAATGTAGTTGTTGAACCCTAATGAAATTTAAATTAATAAAACTGTCTTTTTAAGCGCTTTTATCAAAGACTCATAAATTATTGTTTAAAAAAAAAGTGCGCCAATATCCGCGCTCGATGCTCATAAGATAGTTTGGCTTAAAACGGCTCTTATAATATGTGTGATTGATTTTTCAATCCCCTAGTGAAAACCAGGCATTTGGGAAAATTTGGCACAACTCTCTTTGAAGAAACGGAAATTTTAGCACAAAAAATTTGAAACGCAGCACATTTCTGTGGCATGCTACGACTATCCGCATTTGTGGAGAATAACGCAATTTTTAGGCCAAAAACATCCCATTATTCGTTTGGATAAAGTGTATTTTTTCATACAACCAGCAGTTGCGCTCAAAATCGATATACTAGCAGATACCTTGGCGCATTCTAGAATGGACAAAATCAACCTTGGTAGGTACCCGATATGGTAATTGAGCAAAGTTAAAGCATCAGAACAGAGAACAAGAAAAGAACATAATCCGACTGTGCTGGGAATTGTTTATCTGTGCGACCAATGATATAAAACCGTGGCATATCACGTGAGCTCGATTAAATCTGGCTTTTGTAAATTTAAAATTAATTTCTCTGCCCGACGATTAATCTTATCAGTTTAAAAATAGTTCTAGAGAAATCGGCGCTAAGTGCGGTGAACGCGAACGTTTAAGACCGCGAATATGCTAAAACAACGGGAAATTAGCGTAACTATACGGAAAGCGAAAAAGGATGATATGGGCCAAGTGTACAAAATGATAAGGGTGAGTCCTTGAAACCGGTTTTTTGGAGGAAATGAATCCGTTCCGGCTTATGTAATTTAAGATCCTAGTTGCATGCATGTTGCTGAATCATCGCATTATTTGCATCGGATAAATTCATGTTTTTCCTTATTTCCWTGCAAAAACAAAATAGACAAATGAAGCAACTGTTTGGGRTATTTCMCTAGTCGCTTAGTTTGATTGTRGCAAAGCGTAGAATTCAYATGGGTKATTAAATGCCATTTACTTTATATTTTTATAATTAATGGAACGTGTTTCAAGCAACCGTCAGCATTGTATAGGTTCTAATAATCGGTATACGGGGCMAGTGAAATAAATATTGCTACACTGTACTTCCGRAATATGAAGGAAAAAAAATGAAAAAATAMATAAAAAATAGCRGAAACCGCATCATTCAGCCTTGAAGCAAACAACATAATCGAAGAGCCGACCCGAGATATAAAGTCATTCACTCTGAATTCAGTTCCCAGCAGTACTTGAAACCGGGCTGATACTTTGTAATTAAGAAGTTCCAACAAACAATAATGTATAACTGTCCACGTGGACCATTTTTCTACCKATTTTYCTTAATCGCGTTTGATTGATTTTTTCATTGAGTTTTAACTGAAAAGGCTTTAAGGCTGAGAAAACTTAAGTTAAATTTATAAACTCTCTTTGAGCCACATTTTGACGATTTAGCAAATCGCGACTTTAAATCTCAATTTTGAAAAATGCTTTACAATTTGCCTTTTTTTCACTGAAAAGCGCTCTGTTTAMAAAAATTTAATGTGGACCGTTTAAAAGCSCACCAAAAAAACCTATTTCCTCGTGGGACGTGAAATGCACGTCTTGATTAAACTGAAACACCCTGTATTTGATTTATTTATTACGGCCATTTCGATACGTTGATTACAGAATTTATAAGAAAAGTTCCAGGCCAAGCGAATTTCAAGATACTTTTTGAAATGAAATGAGCGTAAACCGACTTTCTAAAAAATAAGAGCGGCTTAATCATGCAGGGTCGAATTTGCAGGTCTCTAAAACGATGCAAAAAATGTTAAAGCTTCCTCACGTAATGCAGAATAGAATCGAATGACAACAGAACAATTTTAACCTTTGCATAATTGCATTGCGTTTTTTGGTCTTTAGCAATTTTTGTCTATGTCCATTTGGAAAATGCTCTCGTATGCACAATTCAACAATAGTTCAAAAAGCATCACTCGCAAATATTTTTTCATTTACACCAGTTAGCGGCAAAACTGGAATTTTTAATTCTCAGTTCCTGTTAACGAGCCTAAACCAGTTCTATTGAACCAATAACATACCATTAAACTGTTGACGCAAATGTTTTGCTTGTTTAACTGGTAAACGATTGCTATAAGCTGCAAGCGTCTATTGTTCGAGCCAACTTAATAAAATAGTTATTAATTATAATGTGAAATTAACGATAAGAAAGTTGTAGTTGTGTAATTATCTAGGCGGAGGATTGCACAGATAAGCCATCTTAGGGGGCCACAATCGAAAATATTTGCCCATTAGATAAGAACGTTTGCTAGTTAGTTTTCATTACTTATCCTGGATGCTAGGGGGCAAATAAACAAAGATTTTCATTTTCTTTTTTCTCAGGCCTTGGCCGAATTTGAGAAACTGGAACACACAATGACGCTGGATGTAAAAACGCTGGAAAAAGATGGTTTCGACAGTGAAAATCCAGCGTTCACCTGCCTGGTAGCTGAGCTATCGGACGGATACATCGTGGGCTACGCATTGTACTACACAGCTTACTCCACCTGGTTGGGAAGATCAATTTTCTTGGAAGATCTCTATGTGCAGCCCGCTTACCGCAAGAACGGTATCGGCACTCAGCTCTTCTTGGCAGTGGCAAAAATTGCCCACGAAACTCCCAGCAAAAAAATGGACTTTCACGTGCTTTCCTGGAATCCGGCGGGCGATTTCTACAAAAGACTGGGCGCTGTGGACTTGACGATCCACGAAAAATGGCACCACTTTCGAATGGATGAAAGGTGCCTAAATAGGCTGTTTGCAAACGAGCCACGTTGCTAACACCGTTTTAAACAAGACATTAATTGACTGCGAAGATCTTCGACATTTGTTTAGCGATTAATCGTAAAGTTAGTTTGTATCTTATCCAGTATTCGGCAATAATCGGGGTTTTGCACTAGGCAATCAGTTGTTCCTGTGCGAATACCGTAACAGAGTTCCGTCATACCTTAGCCAATAAATAAGCGACAGTGCAAAATCATATTTTATTTTATTTGAACAGTCAAACTATCGATAATCCACAATTTAAAAAATCTAGATAGTGAAGATTTAAGTATAACTCGCTTGAAATTGAGTCTTATTTCAATCGCCTATCTTAGGCCTATCTATCTTTGTTTTATCTTTTTCTTAGATAGCTATATTTACTTTATTTATCCCATGAAAAGTAGCTCGTTTAGCAATTGTGATGCATACATAGTACTGTAAGCCCTTAATGTTACCATATCCTTTTATATTTCGATACATGCCAAAGGTAGCTAGAGAAAATAAACGATTTTTAATGTAATTTTATATTAGGGGTTTATTTAATTTAAACTCAGGTCACTGCTTAATTTCATTCGAGTACCCAGGAAATATCAGTCATCATTGGAAGAATTTGGAAAGCGCTAAATATGTATTTAAAACCGCCTATACCTCGAAAACGCTCCCAAATATCCGAAAAGTCCTGATATTAGACCCCTTTCGATATGGTTTCAACATTTCAATTCTTTTACCCGTATGGCATCCCAAATAAAATAGACCCGAAATTTTTCCAAATTCTCATGTATATCTTGAAAACTATTGCAACTATCTGAACTTATCGGAAGTCGTCAGGACCCTTTCGATTGCCCGTTGCGAGAACTGCGAACATTCCGAACACCTAAAGAGGCAGAATCAAAAAAATCTCGAAAATGGTCGAACCTTTCTGATTTTAAGTCCATTTCACGCTGAAAATTCCAAATTTGTTCGTGTTTCTAGCAAATATCTATATCTGTTCCCTACTCGAGTTTGGCTAACAGGCCTCAGCGCCGTAGATTACGACCTGAGCTCAAATTTATCAGTTTTTGGGACCGAAAACCTATAAGCCTATTAAACAGTATACTGACTTTTACCACTGCTAAAGCAGAATGAGTCGCAACGATCCAGGCATTACAGCTACGTTAGCAACTCTCCGTGATTGTACAAAATCCATCAGAAGTCTCCTGCAAGTGAATAACCGCCTCTTGTTCCTCAATAAAACCATCATCCTTAAAATGGTAAATGATGTTTGCATCTTCTTTGGCTGGTTCATCAGCCTGCTTATGCACCACCTTTATGTGCGCCAACAGATTGTAGTTCTCCGTGAATTTGTGGCGACAAAACGGGCATGGATGATTTCGCAGTTTTTGATGGCAAGCTCGCACGTGTCGTTTCAAATGTGAATTAGTCAAGAATCCATGATTGCAAAATTCACAGCGGAAATTCCGCTGCCCAGCATGGATTTTTCGATGGATGTTGAAAGAGCTGTGATGCAAGAATTTCTTGCCGCACTCTTCGCACTGATAGCGGCTTTCGCCTGAAAATCACCAAGTTAATTTCCAGGAGGGTTTTCAAAAACTGCTCTCACCTGTATGTATAGACAAATGTCGGGCTAAAGCGCTTTTCTGATTGAAATTTTTGCCGCACACTTCACAAAAGCAGTTTTCGTCTATTTTATTCAAAGCCAGCAGCTTAAGGTCGTCGCCAACAGCATCATGTTTCTTCAAATGGTTGTCATACCCGATCTTGGTTTTCAAGCTTTGACCGCATATTTCACATAGAATATTCTTGGATGGTTTGCACTTGGTCATGTGCTCCTCTATATGCTTGGAAAGGTCCATTTGAATAAGGGAGCGAATCTGCAAAAAATTGCTGGTGACGCTGAAATTGAGTGGAAGTCGTTTGGAAACCAACCTGCTCAAAAGCTTTATCGTTGTGCTTGATCTGCTGCTCCAAATCAACTTCGGGGAGTTCCTGAGGAGACGTTTGATCATTCTTCAATTTTACTCTGGTAACTTTGATGGGCAACTTTTTAAAATCTATGTCCCCAATCTGCAGGTTGTCGGTGGAGACATTGGAGCTTTCTCCCTCCAAATCGGGACAAAGTCTCGGAGCATCCTCAGTGACAGTCTTGTTGTTTTTAGACACTTTTGATGCAGAATTTTCCAACTTAGAAAAGTACTTGTGAAGTTGCTCATACAACTGCTTCTCTCGCTCTTGAATGGTGTCCAGTTCATTCAGCAACTCGTAACAGGCTGTGCATATATTGCAATGAAGAAACACGATATTTTCATACAATTTTTCCACCAACTTGATCATCAGAACCTTGGACTTCTCTGAATGTGTAGACTTCAGGTTGTACTTCACTTTGGCTATGTGCTCGTGACAAATAATGCATTTGGAGAGCGGCAGAAACATTTGGAATGTTTATTATTTACTTTTAAACCCGATTTGAAGTTAACATTGCATAAAGGTAAATATTGCTGATGTAACCTCAATTGTCACTGCCAAAAATGCCAGTGCCAACCATCTAGTGTAGCGGTTGCCACAGTTTGCATTTTTTTCCTCAACCCTAGCAATTTGTCAGTGTAGTTAAGACTCAATATTTTAAGTTACGGAATTTTGTTTCAGAAACTTGGCATCATCCCTACTCTGACAGCTTTTCTAGGCTATCTTTCAGATAGTACTCGAAATTTATTTATTATTTTATTAAATTTAGGAAGTGCCCCAAATAGAAAAAATGTGGGCTGATACTCTGCTAATAGTGTTCATATCAATTTGCACAGCTTTCCTAGGTGAGGGCCTCACTTGGCTGATGGTGTACCGCACTGAACGCTACCAAAAACTGAAAACCGAAGTGGAAAAGCAAAGCAAAAAGTGTAAGCCTTGATATAAACAACGTCTATATGGAAAACATTGAGTCTTTGTAGTGGAGAAGCGCAAGGAGACGCACGGAGACACTTTGGACAGGCAACAGAAAAAGAAAATTGAAAGGGAAGAGGACAAGTTGAAGCACAATAACAGGGACTTGTCTTTTGTGAAAATGAAGTCCATGTTTGCTATTGGCTTCGCTTTCACTGCTTTGCTAAGCATGTTTAACAACATGTAAGTCCAAATAAATAAGAGCCTAATAGAACTAATTTCGAATGAAAGACTTAATAACCCGAAAATGACCAACAAGAACATTTTCTTATATTGCAGTTTTGATGGGAGAGTGGTAGCTAGACTGCCTTTCCTTCCGCTCACTTGGATTCAGGGCTTGAGCCATCGAAACTTACCAGGAGATGATTACTATGACTGTTCTTTTATTTTTCTGTACATTTTATGTACCATGTCCATCAGGCAAAACATTCAAAAACTTTTAGGCTTTGCGCCGTCTAGAGCTGCTTCTAAGCAAGGCAATAGCCTATTTGGGCCAGCCCCAGGTCAATTTAAATAAAAGGGTATAGCTCCACTATTCAAGGTGTAATATATGTATTAAATTTACTTATTTTTCTAGTTAAAGTCCTAATTTACCTCCGCTATTTCTCGTCAAATAAAATGGTCGAATCGGCAAACGAGTGAACTTCTTCATCAAAAATGTCTTCAGGTGCGGTTTCATTCTCATTCTCAAAAAACGTTGGGAATGGCAGCGGCTTTTGCGGCGTCTTCGTCGGTAATTGAGTGTCGTAGACGTACACTATCGAGTTGGTTTCCCCAGGTATGGCCTGGCCAGACACCCAAAGAACATTGTACTTGGTGTTAATTCTCCAGATCTTCAGGGCTTTGGCCATCTTGAATCTGTTACCCATGTGACCAGGCATCTTCTTGCCGGGCCAAACTCTGGCTTTTTCTCCTCCGGCTCCAATGTTTCCTACCCTGCGATGGGACTTTGTGACTCCATGACTAGCTGGCATTCCTTTGAACCCGTGCCGCTTCATAACGCCTTGGAAGCCTCGATCAATCCTGGAAGAAAATTCATTTAGGGAAGTTGAGGCAAATTTTTAAACTCCGCACAGTACGTTTTTCCTCGCACATCAACGTAGTTACCAACTTGGAAATGTTGGGCATTAATAGTGGTTCCTTGAGGCAGCGAGGCATCTGGACTGACGAAAAAACGTCCCAGCAACTTGGTTGGAAGTACGCCAGACTCTTTGAACAATCCGCAGTATTCCCTGGTAAATGTGGAAGGGTCTCCTAATTCAGCGCCCACTAAAAGACACCCCTTCTTGTTGTACACTCTTGGCCTGAGCTGCTGTACAGGCTCGTACTCTTCAGGGGTGTAATATCTGATAACGTGGTTATCCAGCACCTGAAAATTGACATAGTTGCTGCCGGACCGGTTCAATGCGTGCGATCCCTTACCTGTAGTAATGTCGTTTGAATTCGGGTCCCGTTCTTCAACCACAGAGGATAAATTCCGATTTTCTTCGCAATCACGCCGGTTCTTTGCAACTTTGGAGTCCATGGAACTGGACTGGTCACGATTTGCTTAGACTTTTCCGTGCATTGTTTCAGTTTGTCGTCCACTATTTCCGCGAGGAAATCTCTGTTTTCTGGGGTAAAATTTTCTTCTCCAATCTGGAAAGTAAAGGTTTCAACCACTCTCCAGCTGGGAGTTTAAGCTACCTACTGTTCTTGCTTTAGGAGTCAACCAGCTGGGGTTCCGCAAGCGGGGTTTAGGGCGCTTTTGATAATGGCTTTCCCGTTGAAAAGTGGTGGAAACACTGGAAGTTTTCAGGAACTCTAGCAAATTGGTTGAAAGTATCAATAAACCCACCTTAACAATCTGAGTTTTTCCTCGATGAGTTTCAACACAGAACATGATCTAGAGGCTACATTTAGTGTTAGAGCCATGGTCTCTGGGAATATTTTTCCTTTAAACTTGTGTCAACCCGATATCTAACCTAACATAATTCTAGGTTAGTTTAGTAGTCGCTGTTTAAAGGGTTTTTAACAATCACTAAAAGCCCATTTCAGTGAAAATAACTGATAAAATTCTTCAGCGGGCTGAAGGGTTTCTTTGTTCAGCCCCCAAATGTTCGGGCTCCAATGTTTGAAGCCTAAACTATTTTATTTTCTAGAACATCTTCAAAACATTTCTCGAGAAAAGGTCCAACCAAAGCAGCTCTAAGCAGCCCCAACACTCCCAACCAAACTTTATTGACGTTTAAGTTTTTTTATTTGTCTATCTATTCTCTATGTATAATATCTATCTATTTATAAGTCTTTTTCTATGGTCTTAATTGTCTATATAATAGTGAATAGTCTGTGTATGTATCTATGGTTTAAGTAACCATCAATCTAATATTTAGATAAATGAAAATGCTACTAAATAGTGTATTTCTAATGGCCTCATTCTGAGTAAAGTGTACAAAACACATTAGTCAGTTCGGTATTCGGTAAAAAATGTCATCGCTTGGATCCGTCAGCACTGGATTTCTATAAAAGTGTTTCAAGTGTTGAATTATGCCCCCCAAAAAGCGGAAACCAACCCCCACAGTGGTGGGTACAGTTTCAACGAGATCCACCCGCCGAGAAAGTGTGGTAAAAATTGCAATTCAGAATGCGTCGCCCATTAAAGCCCCTGACAAGCAGTCGGATCTTTCGCCCGACAATACAAGTGAAGAACCGAGTCCGGAGCCAGCCGTTGCCCGGCCAGAAATAATGGAAATTTTAAAAGATTGGTCTGATGATGACGATACGAATGAAAATATGGAAATTTATCGCCCGCAACAGGAAACTACTGATCAACAGTCCTTGATAGATATCCTGGAAGGGCGCCAGCCTGAGCCTGCTCCTAAGGAAGCAGCAAAAAGCTTCCCAATGTCTGAGCATTTTAAAAAGTCCTGGAGTAGAAGAAATTTGGCGGAAAACCCCGTAGTGAATGCGGACAGCCCGAAGTCCGACGAGCCAAACATAATCGAGGAATGTGTGGTGGATGATGACAGTTTTATCATAATTCTTCCAGAGGAACAAGCAGCTGCAGCCAAAAACGATCATCAGCAAGAAGGCTGCAATTCCCTATCAGAATCCTTTGAGAGCTTCAGCATTTCTTTAGAATCATCTAGGGAAGGCGACAGTAAATCGGTACTCTCAGAAGACACGTCTTCACAGAGCATGATAACAGTTGAATCCGATCATAATGACGTTCCGACATCAGAAAATTCATTAAATCACCAGAATTGTGATAGCACCTCAGAGCCTACGATGCACTCGGGCGCTTTTCGCAGACAACTTGGTGAAAGCAGCGTTGAGAAGACTTTATGTAAGCAAATCACCGACACAATGAAAATTTGTGAGGAGACAAACAGTCCAAGACGCAGTGAAGAGTCGGCTAAGTGCTCCAGCAGCTCAAGCAAAAATCAGTCCGGGGACTCTGATGTTGAAATCATTTCGCCCCAACTCTCGCCCAGCATTGTAAAAACAAAAATAATTTACAAGAAAACTAAACAACAACAGGCAAAGTCGCCAATTGCTAAAATCGAAGTTGACCATGAACGCACGGAAGACTCGCAAGGCAAAAAAGGAGAACTACTTGCTTCAGAAGTAGTCTCAAAGTCAGCAACGGCTGTAACGAAGAAGTCGTTGAAGGGGCAAAAGACGAAGACTTCTTCATCCAAATCCTTAGATGCAATAAGGGTGGACATCGACGCTTGTATTGATGCGGTTATTCGGAAATTTACTTCCGAAGTAGATAGCGATAAAGGCAAGCCAATTGCAAGTAAAGGCAAAGTGAAAAAAGGCAAGAACGGAAAAGGGAAAAAGGATGAAAAAAGTGGCGAATTATCCGAAGAAGTTAGAAGAAGATCTGATCGAATCAAGACCTTTCCGATGGTTAAGAAAAAGTCCCATGGCTTGGTTAAATCCAAGTCTGAACCAAACTTGCCTCTGGAGGTGGAAAATTCAGACAGCAACGACAACGATAAACAGCCGCATGATTCACCTCCTCACTTAAGCAAGCCGGAGAAAAGCAAACCTAAAGCCAAATCAACAGAGAATTTGCAATTGAGCAGTGTCTCATTGCCTAGTTTATCGCCGGAGCTCCCAAAACCCACTGATATAAAGGCGGCTAAGAGCGGCCAAGATGAAATTGAAGAGAGACTGAAGAGTTTTCAGCACCTGAAGGAAAACCAGTACAAAACGGACAGGCAAGTGTCCAAAGAAGCAAAAGACATGGTTTGCGACTGCTACCTAGCAGAAGAAGACATCAAAAACGACGAATACGGATGTGGGGACGATTGTTTGAACAAACTTCTCATGATAGAATGCGGCGAACTGTGCCAGGTAGGAGACAGGTGCACCAACAAACGGTTCCAAAAAAGCGTTTTTGCACCAGTGGAAGTTTTCAAAACGGACAAGAAAGGCCTGGGCCTGAGAGCAGCCGCTAACATCGCATATGGCGAATTTATTCTAGAATACGTTGGCGAAGTCCTAAATGCAGACGAGTTTGATAAAAGAGCGGAGGTTTACTCGAAGGACAAAAATATCCACTTCTACTTCATGTCTTTAAGAGCAGACGCTGTAATTGATGCAACGATGAGAGGTAACATTTCTCGCTTTATCAATCATTCATGTGACCCTAATGCGGAGACCCAAAAATGGACTGTTAACGGCGAGTTGAGAATCGGGTTCTTCAGCACCAGAACGATCTTGGCTGGGGAGGAAATTACCTTTGATTATCGCTTCGAAAGATATGGGTAAGTGATGAAGATAATCTGATGATGAAGACGGCACCTAAGTGTGCTGTCGAGTCAGGTGTTAGTCCATCATGTTGATTTTTTCAAGTTAAAATGACAATTTTGCGCAGTTTTAACTAATTTTTCAGGATGCTGAGACTGAAGTGTCTTCTATACACAGCGAAAGTTTAATCGAATTACGTGCTCTAGCTTAGAAACTTAGTCCTATGAGAACCTTAACATTTAGGCCCTCATTTACGAAGTCCGCAAGAATCAGAATTCCGCGCGATTCGAATTTTTTTTCAGCATTTTTTTACTTGCTATAAAATCGAAGTTTGCAATTTTTAAATAATCTTGTCTATCTAAGTGGAAGTCAATATATTAATCCCTGACTGAAAGAAAAACTGACGGTAGACATTTTTCCAGCAAAGAAGCGCAAAAATGTTACTGCGAAGCACCGACTTGTCGCGGATGGCTTGGCGATCGTCCAGATGAATCTGAGGACGAAGACGAAGAGGATGAAGATGAAGCCACCGAAGTGGCTGCTGAGCCAGCAAAGCCTCCAGCTGAAGAAAGCGCCGTTGTGGCCAAGGAGCAATTGGAATCAACGAGTCTTCAAAGCGACATTCCTACTCCCATGGACACTGCGGAAGTTGCCAGTGTTTCCGCAGATCAAATTCAAACTGAGCCTTCCATTACGCCCGAGCGACTGGAATCGCCTAAGAAAGCTGGCAAGAAGAAATTGCGCAAGGAAGTGCTGTTTGAGGACTTTGATGTAAGTTTTCTGAGCATTGTTTTGAAGGTTTTTGCTACAACAAGCGGTATTTTAGCAACTCAATGACGACATCGAAATGTTGGTAACAACCGGCCTGAAGAACCAAGCTCACACACTGAAACTGAGCAGATTGATGGTGAGATCTAAAGATCAGGAACAACGCAAGAAGTTGCTTCGTGTTTTGCGGAGAGGAGAACTTCCATGTCGAAGATTGTTTTTGGATTATCATGGATTAAGGTTGATGCACGGATATATGATTGATGCCCAGCAGTTGAAGAGCGGAGATGGCAAAGTGATCTACACCCCATTGGACATCATCCAAACCAAGTTGGAACTGCTGCAAACCCTGGCGGTTCTGCCCATACAAAGCAAAACTATTCTCATTGAAAGCAAAGTCTTACCAGCCGTTGAAAAGTGGGCGAAGAATGAAGATATCGTCGAAGAAGGAGACGTGAAGAAGTCGCCAAACGACACCGATAGGGAGATGGACGATCCACTGGCAAAGGAGAAAATCGACGAAACCAAGTTCCTGGCGACAAAGCTCTTAGAAGAATGGTAATGTTAATCACGACCTCAAGTTCCGATGTATAGCAAATTCTTGTAGGATTAACTTGAAGGAGAGTTTTCGTATTCCGAAAAAACAGCGAATCGAGCAAATGAAGGAGCATGAAAAGGAAGCCAACAGGAAATTCATGGAAAGTAGTTACGCGCAAGAAAAAGAGTCCTCGAGGAAAAACGATCAGCGCCATCGAACCTGGTCGCGGTACAAATCGGAAAGAGAGGGCAGCAAAAAGAGCAGGTAAATGATCAGTTAATTTTCCTTGATCCTTCCACATGACTCCAATTGGCTCAGGTTTGACGACAAAGACCGCCCGTCAGCGGAATTTTTGAAGATCAGCAAGCACGAGCGAAGAAAGCTGTTTGCACTGCAGATGGAACTGAAAGAGGAGGAACGCAGATTGAAGCAAAGGGAGTTATGGCGTCAGCACGAGATGAACTGCATGATGATCGGGGCCGACCCACGATTTACAGCTCCTTTTGATCCCACCAAAGGGTTCCAATACATTTGGAATCCTGCCGTGGGCCAATGGCAAGCTCTACCCGTCCCTGCAGTGCAGAACCAGGGAATGTATGGCTCACCTGCTCCAGCACAAGGTGAGTCAGAAAAGATACAGTGTAACAAACGATTTAATTGTGTTTTTTCGTTCCTAACTCTAATTGAAGCACTATGTATGTGAATTGTTGTTGAAATTCCAGGCTACAACGTACCACCTCATAAGCAACCTTTGCTGGGACCGTATTCCAATCCATTGATGAACATTCCGGGACTGCCAGGCAGCCAACAATATCCAGGTGGGTTTTACCGATTTAACTCTCAGCGGATTGGGTCTAGTCAATTTTTTTCTTGAATCAGCGCTGGCACCCATGGTGTCCGGCTTACCTACACAGGGTGTCGCACATCCAGGCGCAGCCATGCCCGGTTCCGTACATTCTTTGCCTGGAATCTCGCAACCCCCGGTAAGCTTGCGGTAATATTTGGAAAGTCGACGACTAAAAAATTGCGATTGTTCAGTTGCAAGTTATGCCCTTGTACCAGGAAGTGAAGCCGGAAGATCCCTCTCAGGTGAAATTTGCTGGGCCGATCCCGCCACCAGCCAAATTGCCGCCCAAATGGAAATGTGCAAAGGACAAGTATGGGCGCCCTTATTATTACCACGTGAAACTCAGGAAAAGCCAATGGGAGCCGCCGCTTTTCCCTGAACCCACCCTCGAGGACTGTAAGGAATTTGCGGCGTTATTTTCATTCCTTGCATTTATCATAATTTTAGCTTCTGAGTCTTCAACTTCCGAGACCAGCAGTTCTTCAGAATCGAGCTCAGACTACGGGACTGATGAGGAAGTCGACGACTCGAAAATGCTGATGGACGTGCGGAGGGAACTGGAGCGCACCTTAAAAGCGCCGCTAAAGTCCCCCTTGCCCGAACATCTGAAACAGGAGGAACAAGTATCTGTAACCCCCAGTCCTGAAGTGAAGGTACGTTGATGATTGCGTTCTTTTGCGAGAAATTCAATTTATTTTTCAAGGCCGATTCTGAAAACGATGAAACCGAACCAAGCGCGCAGGTGAAAGAAGAAAGCAAAGACGAACCCATGTCTTCCATAGATATTCGACTAAAGGAGCAGTTTAACCTGGACAATGCTGAGCCCTCAAAGAAGAAACGGCGCGTTGGGTTGTGCCAGGAAATCATTATCAGTGTAAGTATTCTTGTTTTAGGTTTCCTAACTAGATTTTTCAAGAAATCCTCTCATTTAGCCACGCACTAAGGAAGATCGACAACAGTTCAAAGAGGACGTGAAACGGTACAAAGCCACTAAAGAAAAACTGAAGCGCCAAAAGGAGCAAATGGTGCAACAAGCCAAGAAGAAGCTGAAAATCGAGCCGGCAGACGAGAAGCCCAAGAAAGTTAGGGAAAAGCGCTCATCGAAAACGCGCACTAAAGAAACCACCGAGTGGAATGACGAGAATGCGAGAAAAATCAAAGAAAACTTCAGATCGAACATGGCAAACACCGTAGTGAGCGTGTTGAACGCTTACAGAAAACCCGACTGTAAAGAAGCCCGCATTACGAACACTGAGGACTTCAAGCATTTGGCTAGAAAAGTAGGAACGAGACACTTTTCTGAAAATAATTATTCATTTGAATATAATTTTTCAGTTAACTCACTTTGTGATGCTGAAGGAAATCAAGCACCTCCTCAGTATAGATGAGCTGGTTTGCACGGACAACGTAAAAGCTAAAGCCAGAGAATACATCAGGAAGTATATGAGTAAGTTTGGAGAAGTGTATCAGAAAAGGCATGATGAGCCCGATTTCAAAGATTAATAATTAAACATTGTTTGGAAAACTAAACAATTTTTAAGTGGTCTATTTGCTAGTCCCCAATTTCCATTATTAGACCCTCTGAAACCTTCACTTTTGACCGGGCAAAGAAAACGATTCAACCGTCTTTGCTGTTAAGGTTTATTTAAGAATCATTAAACCCTTCGTGACTAGTCAATGTATAGATATCCTCCAGGCCCGGTTTGTTCGGTGACAATGACATCTTAAATACAAATAAAATGCTAGAAATTAAATAACTAAAACAAACAAAAATCGCTATTTACAATGGCAACAAACAAAAATAGCATAAGCCTACGTGTCTAAATGAAAAGTAACAGTTTTACTACTCTTAACGTTGTTTAAAAGCGCACTTTCAAACTTTTGCAGCGTTTTATTAACTCTCGCGTATAAGAGGCTCAAATTGTTATCTTCATCAGGCGGTTGCAGGTTTCCTAGGATTTTAAATATGTCGTTCATTGAAGAAACGATTTCGGCTTTGGTGGCTCCTTTCGGGGCGCTGTTGTTCATCCACTTTAGACCTTTCAGATAATCCGAAAAATTTTCGTATTTCTGCAAATTCAGGTTGTTCAGAGGCACCAAGGCGTACTTTCTTGTCACCGGGTCCATTATTTTTAGGGTATCAGAGTTGAAAGTGCAGATCAGCCCCTGGTCACTACAGCACTGTTTAAAGCTGTCCAACAAGTCACTTTCGCACTCACTTTCGTAAGTTAACACCCCCTCTAGTTCTTCTAGAAAGTTAGTTTTATACGGCGACAAAGACACTTGTTGATTAGCAGTCCTTAGTATCCTCACTTTAGACTCTAGCTCGGCCTTGCATTTTTCAGCTTCAGCAAGTTCTTTCAGTTGATTTTGCCTGCTTTCCATAAATCGCTGCTCCCACATTTGTTGCGCCTCAAACAGCTTGCTCTCAGTTTCCACCAGTTTCACTTTGATGTCGTCAACTTCTGAGCTCTCGTTGAAGCTCAGCGTCTCAGATTGGGGGCTCAGAGAGCTACGCCTCTCATAGTCCTTCCTCAGGGCTTTAAGTCGCTCCACTTCCAACCGCAACTCTCTAATGAGGCGATCATGAGGGCTTTCGTTTATTCTCGCTCGATTTACTATTGTTCTTGCCTGGCAAGCGTATCGTAACGTCGACAAAGTTTCGTCCAGGTGGGTGCTGGATGGAGAAATTGTGGCCAGCATGGAGGTTAGGGAGTTACCACCAAGGCTTTCCTGAAATGATAAAAATGTTCTTTAGTGAACACTGAAGAGTTGCTAAATTACTTACCCTCAATAGCCAGGTCAACACTGAGTCCCTATATGGCACAAATTGGTTTTTCTTTTGCTCAGCTAAGGCAGAAATGCATTTGCCCAAAGTTAAAAGGGATTTGTTGATGCACACCCCTTGCTTCATCCGCTCCTCATTGTTGAGTGAAGTTCCCAGCCTCTCACTTCCTGCTAAATCCACCAAGCTCACTTTACTCCTTCTGCAGCTGTCGGTATCATCCAGGCTCTTGGACTGGCCGATTTCTATGGCGAAAATGCTGTGCGATCTGGAGGAAAAGTCGTTCATGGCTGTACTGGCAACAGCCCGGTTTTTGTTGCCTAATATCAAGAAGTCGCGCAATTCCGTGTAAGACTTCACAGTATGAGAGGTAAGATCCACTATGTATGGACCCAAAGTTGGATGCTCTCGCACTTTCAGAGGAACTCGAGCGGAGCTTTGAGCTGGATTTGCAAGCAAATCGTGAATTTTCTCGTTGTAAATCTCAAAGTAGCTGACTTCAATGCTAATGGTGTATTCGCTCTGCAGCTCGCCTGCTCTTTTGAACAATTCCTTGCAAAATCTTGGTGTAATTCCAGCAAAGTCTTGCGAGTCTATGTCACTCACTTCGCAAATGTTTCTGCCCATCATGCTGTAGCTTTTCCCTGATCCAGTTTGGCCATAAGCAAACAAACAAGCGTTAAATCCTTTAAAGGCACTATTCAATAAGGGCACCCCAATGGTGAGAAAAATATCCTCCTGCTTGGCAAACAATGGGCTGCTTTCATCCACAGACCAAAACACATGATCGTAATTAAACGTATGATCTACACTAGTCCCGCTATGGCTGTTCTTGGGGGGGCAGACGATTATCTGCTTCTCCTTAACTCGAATCACATCTTCACTGCCCACTACATTCAATTCAGTTAAATTCATCGGCCGAATCCTCACGGAGACTCGAAGATTGCACTCTTCATCGCACTTTTCCTTGCTGGCCCTCCGTTTTCCTTTGGGGGTCTCAAGAAAAACATTGCTGAAGCATTCTGGGGTTGAGATGTGGTTCGCTAAGGGCTTGGCTGCTTTGGGGGTGGAAAATTGAGTCAGAATAGCAGCTGATAAAACGCGCGTTCTTGGAGTGCAAGATTTCACTGGTGAGAGCGCCATTGCCGAAATTTAGCAAAGATTTCAGATGAAAAATTGAAAATCACATTTCAAACATTTTTTGAAAGGTTTGTCAGTTGGACAAAGTGTGGAAGGGATGGCAGTTGGGTGTGTGCCATGTTGGCAAGTGCAGCTGAATTTGTGTTTAAGCCAATAACTTTGCGGTACGGTTTACAATTAAAATCCATGGTAAGTGGCGATAATCGGTGTATTTTGGTGCCATAGTTATTGCAGCGTTGTTTCAGATTTGCGATTTGCATTTCAGATTCAATAGAAGTTTTTTCTTTAAATTTATTTCCATTCTTAAAGCCTGTTGGGTTATTTGCTGGCAACAACGGTTGGTGTTCTTTCTAGAGAGTCCTAACCCTAACCTAAAGCAGCGATTAACCTCAAAATTGGTTACCAGTTTGTTGTCTAGCGGCGTGGTTTCTCCCAGTTGCTCTTGTTCAATAACATTTGTGCTTGAAGCGCATCATTTGAGTATAAACCGGAAAAATGGGCGAAATGAACGTAAGTGAACAAGCTTCCATAGCTGAGGCCACAGACGAACTCACATACGAGGAAAAAATAGCTTTCTGTAACGGAATTGCCAAACCGATGGCTCCAAAGAAATTAGCCAAAAAATGCTACAAACTAATCAAAAAAGGTACACCGGACGGAAATAAAATACGTCCGATCACAAGAGTTAATAAGTTATTTGTTTTTAGCAAACCAGCAGAAAACCTACGTAAGAAGTGGCCTTAAAGACGTCCAGACCAGAATACGAAAGGGCGAAAAGGGCATAGTTATATTTGCTGGCGATGTGAGTCCGGTCGAGGTGATGTGCCACCTACCTGGAGTGTGCGAAGACAAAGACATTCCATACGTTTTTGTACCAAGCAGGAAGGATTTGGGCGCAGCTTTAAATGTTAAAAGGGGCTGCCTTGTTGTTCTGATCAGGCCTAACAGTGACTACGAGGAAGCATTTAATGAGCTAAAAGAGCAATTTACTACTTTACCTGTGGCCCTTTAATGTAAGCAACTTTAGAATATTAAGTTTAAATTTATCATGTGTTTTTAGTCTCAAATTCCTACATATCCAAATTTCTTCTATTTGTCCCCTGTATGTCTAGCTGGACAAATTCTTTTTTTAAATATTTGTCGCATTTCTGGGAATCGAGGCAAAAAGAGACAACTTTTCCATTACAGTTAAGTTAAACTATTGCAAAAGCAGTATAATTTCAAGTGGAAGTCAGTGATGCAGCTGCTTTGTTTCCCATACGGATTTATCCTGCTCACCGTGCCAGTTATGCTAAATGTGCCCTAAAACATACATGTTTCATTGATTTCCTCAACTTCTTCTTTATAAGCCTACGTTCTTATCAGTGGGGTTCTCGAAGAAATCCTTTAGTCGCACTGTGACCTAAAAACCGATCTCTTGTACCCTTAGAAAGTATCATCAACAACTCACCTCAAATACTCCAGCCCCAGGCAAAGTCCTCAAAGTCAGTCTGTAGTCCCTGATGGACTTTTTCCTTGTGATGTGTTTAGCATCATAAGCCATCAGTCTAGCGCTGATGATCTTTTCTAATGTTAAACTGGCGCATTGCGCGTATCCTTTGAGGAATTGATTCATTGTAACAACCGCAAAGTTTGCCGCTTTCACCACTTGGGCATTGTTTGGAGGAACAGCCCTACTTTCTTGGCAAGTGCACCAGTGGCTCTCTATTTCAGCCTCTTGGCACGTTCGGGTTTTTGGTATTTTTTCAAATAAACTGTATCTAGAAACCGAAGAATTTAGTTGAGGCTGATCAGTTTTTCGGGCTTTTAGGCCGCCGAACGGCAGGAATAAATTATTTTTAAAGCCCCCTGAAAGTCGGCAAAACTTATCAATTTTACGCAATGGCCGCAGAAGCGTAATTCTTTTGGTGGGTTATAATTATGCAGTCTTACCCCCGCTTTAGCTCATTGAGTGCAAGGTTAGGGCTTTCCAGCCCACGAGCATCCAGTAAATCCTTAAGAGTTTCATGCAAATCAAAGGGCGTTGTTAGTCTTCGTACGTTTGCGTTGAGATTGGCAACTGCTTGGGCATAACGGAGCCTAAACCACTGAGGAAGGGCCAGGATAACGAAGGGCAGTCGTTCTTCCATTTGGCCCTGGTAAGTTTGCCGAATGTCCCCCCAGCGAATTCCGTGGTCGCTCATAAGAATCAGCACCGTGTTGTTTAAACCGCCCTCCTCCTCCAGGTGCACAAGAAGTTCCATAATCTTACCATCTCCTAAAGCCTAAGCCGGTTAACTCACTAGACCTCCTGCGGATTAACTTACCGGAAGCGGGTCTGTTGAGGTAATCATGGGAGAGGCTGTTGCTCCAGAAGAAGCCAAAATAGGGACTCCGGTCACGCGACATTCTCCAGACAAATTTTTTTATATAGTCCAGAGTAACGCTGTAGGACAGCCTACTGCCGACACACTGGGCACAGTTCATGTCCCCATTATACCCAATCTTTGATTCAAGCTGCTTGCTGAAGGTAGTGTAGTAATAATCTGAGGGCCTGTTTTTAAACCCCACTTTCAAGTAGTTGAACAGTCCGATCCAGGCACAGTCTTCCCCAATGGCTGTCGCGTAGCCTTTTTGGCTGTAGTTTTTCCAGACGAACGGACAGCGGTCGAAGTGCGTGGAAAACGTTGGCCAGCAAAGCGGTTTCAGTTCTTTCTCAAAAAGCCCAGTCAGTACTGGGATTAGGTTTGGGAAAGTGTTGTCGGCTACCTTGTTGTAGCCCAGCAGCTCCACTCCTTGCAGCTTCTTCATTAGGAATTCGTAGCTTTTTGGTAGCTGTCGATGCAGGTTTACGCGTGAAATCGCATCCAGGCCGATGATCAAAACGTTCGGCTTTAGTTCTACTGCCGGGTTGGTTTTCTTCGGCGCTTTGGGCACAAACGCGAAATAGTCTTCATAAACCTTCGCTTTGCTGTTGGTCGTGCATGTCACTTTAATAAATTCGCTCTGGATTGCAGTGGCGCTTTTTCCCAGTTCTACACACTGTTCGCTATAAGCAACCTGCACATCCGCACTAGATCCTGAAGGATCTTGTCTGGAAAATTCCTGATAGCAACAGTGGAGTTCGGACGAGTTTTTCAACTGATGAAACTGGCGCAAAACTGGGAGATTCATGTGGAGCTCCGTAGGGGTGCTGTAGAAAAGAGCAGGCGGAACTTTGAGGCACTTTTGTTCGGGCGGAGAAAATATAAACTCTCTAATGGCGGAATCGAAAGGATCCATGTCCGGGATTCTGCAGCCTAAAATCCGCTTTTATATCAAAGCAACGATGAAGCGTAAAACGTCTTAAATACCTGGAGTGTTCACCAGATATCCGTGGAGCGACTTGCTGCCGATTTCGGGTGGTTTGTGCAAACCGCTCAGCGCATTTAAGGCAGTTTTCGGGAGCGATTTTAAACTGAACACCTCTAAAAGATACAGAGACCCCAATAGCGCTAGACTGACCAGCCAGAGCTTGATAGCGACTGAATAGCATTTCCATCCCGGTTGAACTGCGGGCTCTTTGGTTTCACGCTTCGACGTTGGTAAAGGCGCGTACTGGATTTTATCGTACATGGTTTTTCTGGAGATTAAAATCCTCTTTTATTTGCCAGGATATTATTTTGACACTTATCATGACTGTTCTTGCTAGGAAAAGTTCGAAAAATCTGCGCTTTTTTTCCTTTCAGGGGAGAATTATCTTGTTTTTCATTACCTTTCGGAGCTGATGAGTGCGTCAAATATTCTCAACTGAACACCTACTTTTCCTGGCGGTTGTTTGAAAAATTTGGGAACGCTCTATCGAAAAGGTCTTATTGACTATTTAGATATTTTCAACCGTTTCCGCGATAGAAACTCGCGAACTTTGACGATTCGTTCAAATTGGCCCTTTTCCCTTCTAACTTTTTTAGGGGAAGAAATTTAAGAAAAGACTGCTTCCATGTACTCTACTGAAACCATTTTATTTTCAGTTCAGTTATTAACAACCGTTTCAGAGATATAAACGCATTCAGTTCAAGAGCTTTTAGAAAATTTCAGCTCTATCTCTTTAGAGTCTGGAATTTTCCGAAAAACCCCAATAGGTAGGCAAAAAACGACACTCGATACAGATTTTCAGGGTTTTTAGGCAGAAAGGTTCACTTCTTCCGACACTCACAAATACTTGCTAAAGTTTGACGACTTACAGCATTAAATATTAACAAAGGGTAAAACTTAGTTATTAAATTAAACAAAGTTAGACAAAACACTTACCGTAAAGTTAGGAGTTTGCAAAAGCAAAATTAATAAAAATCCATTTCACACCTTATGTTGTTATGTTAAATGTTAAAAAGGTATTAGTTTAACTGCGGTTCATTTGCTTATCAAATTTCGTGCTGCCCACTACAACAGCATTCATTTAGTCGAGATATCGTTCATTATTTCATTTTATAGCTCGATATTTAGTAGGTTTTTGCAAATTGTTAGAGGGGTTTCAGATAACTTTGATTTTCAAGGATTCTCTTCTAGGAGATTTTGGAATTTGAGCGGCTTTAACACACGTTCGGAAGCGGGAACTCGAGTCTAATTGAACCGGAAAATTTGAATTTGCCAACCTTCCAAAAACGTTGGTAAATTCAAGCGCAATTCGAATATTTTGCGGCTAAAGATCTTGATAATGAAGAGGTTTAAAAACGGTAACAGAATTTTGCCTGTGAACAAAGCAATCCAGGCTAGACTTTTTTTAAATCGACATTATCGCCTTGAATGGACATTTTCCTATTCACATTGCGCTTGGCAAACGGTTCCGGCTCTTCGGCGTGATCTGTTGTTCCTCAATTCAACACCCAAGATACTTTCTCAAACCTATTTATTGCTTATAGTAAAAAAAATTAAACAAAAACATTTGGCAAATCTTAAACTCTTCGATTATCAGATAAAACCCGGACAATACAGCCCACACCCCCAACATTGTACACTTTTTCGTGCCACACTAGTAAGTGGCCGCTGCTTCCTTCCGAAGGGTTCTCAAAGCCCTTGTACACATACTTCATGAGAACATCTAAAAGGTCCATGTCCAGACTACTGACGGCTTCTTCTATTTGCGAAGGCTTTATCGAAAGCAGCACGCTTAAGGTCAGGTTCAATGCGTTTTCCTTGCAACGAGAGAAAAGAAGATTGACTGTCTGACTCAGGAGAGATTTGGGGGCAACTTACCTTGATTTGTTGGTTTTTTGTGCCCAATGGGGCCTTGGTGAGTACCAGTTTCAGGGCATCAATCAGTTTTCCTGTAAGCTACTGTTAAGGCCAATGCTTTCATGGGATTAGTAAATAATAGAGGGAACAAAAAGGATATTTTTGAAGCAGAATTTTCACGTCGTTTTCTTCGGGGCCTTGTCCTGGCACCACTTGATCCACTTCATCTTCCTTGTAGTTGTCCTCACAGTACTGATCGACGTCAATCTTCCGAAAGGCTGAACTGGAAGTATTTTTTGCCATTTGTGCTTTTTGACTTGCAGTGATTAATAAATGTACACACCTAAAATAGGGGTTATGATCATGTTATGATGTTTACAATCGCTGCATTGTCAGTGTGACAACAAATGCGGCCAATCGCTAGACAACATGATGAAAGTTGGCATTATATATACACGTCCAATGTAAAGCTCATTTGTGGAAGTGAGATGGCGAGTGTTGTCAAGCTAAAACAGCAATTATTTGAAATTATTTTGGGCACCTGAAGGCTTATAATTGTACCTGCACAAGCCAGTGGGCTTAATTTTCAATAAAAATTATTTCAATCATCAGCTGTGAAGTGGACGCAGCTGATTTGTCAGAATGGTTCCAGCCAATCAAAGCCGTCCACATGAGATTCGATTCTTCCCTGACGTTGGTATCATCGACTTGTCTGCCAATGCCAATTTGTTTATTGTAAATTCCGGCCAATTATTAATAAAAATCGAACCCCACTGTATTATGATAGTATAAGTTCGGGCCTTTTCTCCCATTCCGACACGATGAACTTCAAGTGGTTCGCTCTAGTTTGGGTTAATCTGTTGTTTTCGGGAGTTGTGTTTGCGGGTAGAGATTTTTACAAAATACTCGGTGTCTCCAAAAGTGCCAGCCTCCACGAAATCAAAAAAGCGTATCGTCGTCTCGCCAAGGAATTGCATCCAGATAAGAACCAAGATGACCCGGAAGCATCCAACAAGTTCCAGGATCTGGGGGCTGCTTACGAAGTGCTGTCGGATGAAGAAAAGCGCAAGAAGTACGACCGATGCGGCGAAGACTGTTTGCAAAAGGATGGCATGATGGACGGGGGCATGGACTCTTTTGGCAGCTTCTTCGGCGACTTTGGGTTCCACTTTGGGGGCGAACAACGACCTGAAGCAGCCAGGGGAGCGGATTTACTCATGGACATTCACGTTACTCTTGAAGACCTTTATACAGGTTGGAAACCCCAATTCTCTTTACACGTTTCCCTACGGTAATTTACGATTAATCTTCAGGAAACTTCATAGAAATAACCAGGAATAAGCCAGTTATAAAGCCGAGTCATGGGACACGTCAGTGCAATTGCAGGCAGGAAATGATCACGAAGAGTCTGGGTCCTGGACGGTTCCAGATGATGCAGCAGACTGTTTGTGACGAATGCCCCAATGTTCAGTTGGTCAATGAAGAAAGAACTTTGGAAATGGAAATAGAAGCTGGTAAGATATCGCAGCTTCCATTCTTCAGCAATTTATCTTTGACCATGAATACAAGTTTCATCTAAAAATCTGCAAAGGAACTTAAAATGTGCTCATGGAGCATCCATATGCTCTCCTTGAACTTGAATGTGCTTAAACATTACTCATTATTAAAATATACCTACTGAATAGATATATCTACTGTTATAGTCAGAGTTAAGTGGCCAATTCGTCATCGAATGGCTCGAAAACACATTTTTCAATTCTGTCTTAAAGAGTATATCAGGGCTTCAAAAAATTAGCCCATAAACATCGTAATTATCTCATCAGGAATGGTGGATGGACAAGAAACGAAATTCACTGCAGAAGGAGAACCTCATATAGACGGAGAACCTGGCGATCTGATTCTTGCAATCAAAACCCAGCCTCATCCAATATTTGAAAGAAGGGGCGACGATCTGTACACAAATGTCACCATTAGTTTACAGGTAATCTTTTTTTTTTATTAAAATGCGATTGTTTTTTAATAAATATATTTTTTAGGATGCTCTAGTTGGTTTTACCATTGAACTGCGGCATCTTGACGGACATATGGTTACTATTAATCGGGACAAAATAACCTGGCCTGGGGCCCGAATTCGCAAGAAAGGCGAGGGCATGCCGAATTACTCAAACAACAATTTGCACGGGGCGTTATTTATTACTTTCGATGTGGAGTTTCCTAAGCAGGAACTGAAAGATGAGGAGAAGGAAGGTGAGTTTTTTGTCTCAATATCCTAGGCAAAGTATCCATGCAAGTGAGTCTAAAAAACTAGAGGCTAATTTTATCTTGTTTCCTTTGTAGTAATCAAGAAGGTTTTCAATCAACGTTCCAATAACAAAGTGTACAACGGCCTGCGGGGTCACTGAACATCAATGGTAACTATTAGTATGTAAAACCTATTTTGTACATAATAAGTATGTCAGTTTATTTCGCGTGCGTGTGTATGGGTTCGAGTTAAATGTATTATTTATTAATAGCCACTCCAAGCAAATGGTTTCGTTGAAGGTGTACATTAGACAATTTGTATCATATAAATGTTTTAAGTGAGTGCGGTTGATTGGGTTTTATTTTAAAAAAAAATAGTTTAAACAGAAATTTTATTTCGTCTGTTTTGACTAGATCCTCACAAGCACATAAATCGGACACGTAGAATAAAATATCAGCTGAAAAAATCAGCTCCTACACAGCCAACGTTAATACAAGAATAAACATCAAATGAGATTAGGTCTAATGAGACAGTTACCATCGTGATGGTACTAGAAAACGGCATTATTTGCAATAGCAGTACTTCCGCAAATGAGGAAATTCTGCTTCTACGCATTTAGCTTGCGATCTATACATGTTGATCCGGCTAATATCACCCAGCAACAACTCCAATTGATCACGGTCTTTCACATGCTTAATGGAAGCTTCAAAAATCGAATTACCTGGCACGAGCGTTACTTTAATCTGATACAACTCCTCCGTAATGTGCGTGTTGGCTGATAGATCGGCCACAAAACCGTCAATATCCTTGTTTTGGCTGAATTTCACCAAGTTCCTGTTGGGCGTTAGTTTCATCGCCCATGAAACTTTGGCCAGTTTCAATTCTTCGCACATATACCGCTTACTATCAGTAAGGTTATTTATGAAGTTCAGCAAGGTGTCTCCTAAACGAGGGATGATTGGGTGGGACAGACTAATTTTTTCCCATGCCAAACAGGCACACCAATGGGGCTCAATGTAAGCATGTGCACAAGATCTGGCGGCTGGAATCTACAAGTCGGAGACGCTAGTGAGAACGAACTGTTGGGACGTGAAGAAAATTACCTCCGAAAATAATGAGATGGACCGTTGATTTAAATTGCCGAAGCCGGTGTTTTTCAAATCCAAAACTTCCTGGAGAGTCCGATGAACATCAAAGGGCGTTGTTAGTTTGTCGGAGTTTTTTCGAAAGTTCCTGTAAGCCCTGGGATATTGATGCGCAAACCACTCGGGAAAAGCAAAGGCAAAAAATGGAAGTCTTTCCTCTTGCTTGCCTTGGATTGTGTTTCGTACATCTGCAAACCTATTGGCATCGATCGCATGTCGACGCTTGTTTTCATAGACTGAGTTAAATTCACCTGTGTCCATGATCCGCCATAATGATCAAAATTGTATTATTAAGAGCCCCAGATTCCTTCAAGTCCTTGAGCAGATTCATCGTATCATGATCGGCAACTTCGATTAAATTGTAATCATCGTGCGAAAGTTCGCCATGGAATCCGAACAGGAACTTTGGTTTTGTTTGGTAGACGCTGAAAAACTGTTATGTGGCCCCACTTAGTTAAATGTTGGGCAACAGCTATAAAAACTCACATCCTTGATGTAGTTTAGCATGATTTGATGCCTGGGCGAATCCCCTGTACACAGTTTGGCCCACTTATGTTGTTCGTCGTGATTGGCCAAGTAATAAGGGCGCATATAGTGATCTGTTGGAACTTGCTGCAAGAAAACCACTTAGCTCAGTGGAGAAATTGTACCAAAAAGTACCTTAAAACCATTCAGCCGATAGGTGAAAGTCCCTATATGAGGAACGTCTTCTAAAAACGCCGTTACATATCCGGCGTTTTTATATTCGTTCCATATGAAAGGATATGAATTGACGTAGTTGGTGTTTTTCAACCGCTTCCTAGTGTCTGGAAGCTCTAGCTCGGTTCTCCCAGTTAAGAGTGGAATTAGCGCTTGCGGCGTTCCATCTCCCACTATGTTGTATCTGAAACCATCCCTCAAGCAACCTAGGTTTACGTCAATGGGGGGGCGAAGCTCACCCTTTAAGAACCACAGCGTTCAAGACCTTGGTTAGATATTCGTAGGACTCGGGCAATTTCCTAATGAAAGCGTTTCGCGAAAGCGAATCATACCCAAACATCAAAACGTTCATATTGAGCGCGGTCTTTTTCATTTGCTCCCAGTTGGTCTTATCCCAAATATTATTATCCAGTCTTACCCCGGTTAGAGTTGCTGACCATTTCCGCGAGTCTGAGGACTGGCAAGCCACTCTTACAACATCACTGCGTTCAAGCTTGTAATACTCCGAGGAGTAGAACGTTTCTCCATCAGTCAATTCGTAATCGTCTACACGGATTACATCGGTAAATGCGCAATTTATCGGGCCGTGATTCTTCTTTGCTAGTTCTTGGATCACACATTCAGAGCCCTACGGTTGCAACGTTTTTCAGTTCAGTTCAGTCAAAAAAAACAGTTTCAGTTGAAAAGTGAAAATATGATCAAGAAATCTGGTCCAATTTATCAATAACATTTTTTTGCCGATAGGCGTTGATTGTCGCTACTTTAGCTTAAAAGACGGTTTATTGAGAAAAAGCGATCGGCAGTTAGTGCAGGACAGTGTTAAGAAACCACAACGATCCCGCACTAAAACCTGAGGGTTCTTCAGGCCGATATTTTACTTGAATCTGTATACTTTTCACAAAAAAAATATTTCTTTTCGTTAACAAATTGAACTTACGATCTGATACGAGACACTGAAGCAGTTTCTAGTTTGCAAATGAAAGAATATGCTCTCACTTTTTATTAAGGCAGCAAGTGTGCACATTTTTCATTTGCTAACACACATCTTTGCTCTTCATTGCCTCGTTTTTTGGTAATAAAAACCGCTCTTGGCTCATGTGTAAAATGGAACTCACCCTGCATTTTACCCAGTCATCCCCCGCTTTGTCGCAGTTAATTGGGGGCACTTTTTTAATAAATTGCAGCATTTCTGGATTGTAAAGCTCTAAATCCGGCTGCTTGCATGCCAGACTATTTGCTTGCTGTTTGATAAAAATGTCAATCTTCGCCCTAAAAGTGCACGAATATGTGTAGACTTTTCAGGGTGAGTTCAATCAAGCAAATACTAACAGTCTCAGCTCGCGGTCGACATCGTTTATTAGGGAATGATGGGGCCATATCAACAGGAAACAGCCAATTATCCCAACCAGCAACAAAACATAAAATTTTCTCTTCAGAGTTAATTCAAGCATTTGTAGCCGGTAATAGATTCTGTTGCGACTGATGCAGACACGCATTTTTTATTACATTTCTGATCAACCCAGAATTTGTAATTTCAGTGAGTATTAATTTTAAACAAGCCGCAAATTTGCGATTAACCTGTCAACAATGATAGAAACAATAAACAAACTCGACGCCCCGATGCCAAACCGTTTCTATTTTTACGGTGCTTTGATGATTTTGAATAGAGGCAGTTCCGGAATTAAATCCCAATATGGCAACACCCTGGGTTACCAACCCAAAAAACACTAATTTCTAGGGACCAACCGACTGACATCTCTGACTTGACATTGCTTTTGTCAAACTTACACATAACCTTTCGTTTCTCCCAAACTACAAAAATGGTAAGTAGTCAATTTCATCCGTAAAAACCTGAAATTTGAACACCCATCTAAAGCAACTTTTTATCTGAAAACCTTTCTTAGTTACATTCGTTCGCGGCCTTATTCATATTTTCTGTGACAACCAACTTTTTTCCCTATTTCTTTGATTATAGGTAAGCAAAGGTTATGTTGTCATGTTTGTTTTTTAGGGTAAGGTAAAGTGCTCCGAGTTGAGGACTAAGGACAAAAAAGAGCTCACCAAGCAGCTCGATGACCTGAAGAAAGAGCTCACCAGCTTGAGGGTGGCTAAGGTCACCGGAGGGGCTCCTTCCAAGCTGTCCAAGATGTAAGTAATGGCTTACTACATTACCCCCCCATTCAAGACAATGGCTGATTATTATAGATTTAAATGCTTTGGAACCGAATAGAGTTTTCAGTTAGAGGCAGTTCAACAATAGAACTTTTCGGCTTTTTTAGTCACACAGGCACAAACGTGGTTCGGCAAAGCTCTGTTCATGTTTGGGGTCTGAATCTGGATCCAACGGCCATATTTTTTCAATGAACTCGTTAGTGAACAAATCCAAACAAGGAACTGAGGAGTTTTCGGTGGAAAAACCTGAAAAGAACTCACCAGTTTCAAGTAATGGCCTGAAAATCCGGCAATGGTATCCGTTTGGTCAAAAGATCGGTTTTCATTTGGGCGTACAGAACACTCGAGACGGTTTTATTAAAATTTTCACTTGATTTTTACATTTAAAATTTATCTAAAATATGCCTATATTGGTTCGCAAACAGTAAAAATGTTATTAAAATTGATTTATGGTTTTTCCTCGATTATTCTTTAGGACTATTTCACACAAAATTGATGTTAACATATTTGATCTGTGATTTACTCTAAAATAATTGGAATTTTTTTGTTCAGTCGCGTAGTCCGTAAAGCTATCGCCCGAGTGTACATTGTTATGCACCAGAAGCAGAAAGAGAACCTGAGGAAATTGTACAAAAACAAGAAGTACAAGCCTTTGGACCTGAGGCCCAGGAAGACGCGTGCTATCAGACGCGCTCTTTCGTCGCATGAGAAAAAAATTAAGACTCCTAAGGAAATTAGGAAAATGTCTGCTTTCCCCCCAAGGAAATATGCTCTTAAAGCATAGTTTTTTTTTAATTGTAGAGTTATTTTTTATTCCACATAAAAAGTAATTCAAAAAATTGTCTTATTTCAAGCCCCCCCCGGCAGTTGAACGCTGTAAAGTAAAACACAGTTTCCCAATCCCTGCCTTTATTCCACTGTTAATCAAAATAGTCCTCTATGTCAATATCCGGGTTCAAAATATCGTCCCCGTAAGGTTCTAAATCGATTTGATTTAGAATCAAGTTTTCGCACATCTCTTCCAAGTCGGTGTCCCCAATTAAAACTGCTCCTTGCAGCCGATGATTTTCCAAAATCAGCTTGATGTACTCCAGATCCTTGGTGGTTCTGAGGAGGATTTCGTACTTTTTATCCAGCTTCTGCCCGTTGAACAGTCCCAGCAAAATCACCTTGTAGCCAAACAGCTTGGTTGAGTGGGTGAAAATTTCAAAGCAGAAATCTTGCAGGATTTCCTCTTTGTTCAAATGCCCCGACATGCATTTGGCGGCGTAGCAACCCATTTGTCTGGCCTGAGTCCACAGCTTCATTTGAATCCAGTGCTTCGCTATGGGCCAATCTGCGCTGCAAATATCGCCAGCTGCATAGATATTCTCCAGATTTGTCTTCATGTATTGATCCACTTTAATTCCCTCATCTGCCAGCTCTAGTTGGACATCTATCTTGAAGTTTTTTCTAGGGCTTACACCGGTTGCGGAAATGATCAAGTCGCAACTGATTTTCTCTCCGTTTGTTAATCCAACTTCCAGTTGATGTTCCGAACCTTCCAAGGCTGATACAGAGGATATTTCGTTCTGGTAATGTATACTGACCTGCTTATGCAAGCCTGGGGAGTTTGCTCCAGAAATTAGCAGGTTTTGATACCAATCTGGGCCCAAAGCTGCTCCAGATTTATGCAGTTTATCTTCTTGGTAGCGCATTCTCTTCGTTACAGTCTCTTGAGTGGCAGGCCGTTTGAGCAACGCGGTTTGGAAGAATTCAGCAGCCCCTGGATCTACAAACGTTGCTGATATGTGATTGTCTTTAACCACCCAGTGGATTTCGGTGTTTTTAATCTTGAAAACCAGTTCAGAGGCTATGCCCCCATTTCCAACCACCACAAGCTTTTTGCACTTTTCGAGCGTTTCTAGAAACAGCTCCACTGAGTCAGTGTCTCTAATTCCTACTATATGCTCAGGATATTCAGCGGATTGGGGGATCAGCTTGGGCTGCGCCCCTATACAAAGGCAGAGATATTGGTATTTGATGATGATGCCCGATTGTGTAATAATGCAGGAGTTTTTGTGCTGGATTTCTGCGAGGGTGCCATTGACTACAGTAATATTTTGAAACTTTGCCTGCAGAGTACTGCTAGGGGCTTCTTTGACATCGAATCCCATTAAGGTTTTAGTGATGGCATGCAGATTGGTAACTGTTTTAATCAACGATGATTCACTTAGCAAAATAATAGACTTTTCTTGCTGGAGGAAGGCCAGAGTTTCAGCACATGAAACCCCCGCAATCCCTCCGCCGACTACCACAAACACTGCTTCCATTATTTATTTTTTGGGTAATATTTGGAGTAGTCGTATTTCCTAAATGGCACATCAAACGTTAGTAGTCCATAGTCATAAGCTCTCTTAATGCAAACTTCCAACTCCAGTTGTCTCCTTCTGCAAAGCCCAGTTTGGCTGTAGCCCAGCACAGCGCCAGTCTGGGGCGATATAAACTGCTTCAATAATTCAGTGTTTTCTTGGTGAAGAACTAGATACTCATCCCGGCAAATGGGGCAAGGGTTTCCAGTAGATATCTCCTCATTACGAATGCAGGTTTTTCTTGTATGTCTAGGCGGAATGGCTCCTTTGTGATTCCTTCTGTAAGGCACCCAAACGGGCTGATTACCATAGGTCTGCTTATATGCGGCACTTTTTAGATAGCGAAGGCTCGTCTCAAGGGGCACTTGCTGTGAACGGTCTTTGGTAACTTCGCGAGTTTCCACAACTGCGGATTCTTCTTGGAAGTTACGCGCCGTTAAAGACAACCGTCTGCGAACAATCGCACTGGATATTAAGTTTTTTATTCCTACTGAGCGACTGTACATTTTTAATTGCGGCAATTACACTAAAATAGGTTAGGGTTTGAAACAAATGTCATTTTCTTCAGTTTCTCCAATGAGTTGAGCTTTTTTGCGATTTGATGCTTTCATTCCAGCTTATTTCCAAATATTTTTAGCTTTCATGAAATGCAACTGGCGACTTTTCTTTTCACGTTACCAAACCAGGGGTATTTGAAATAAACGGGGCGTTTAATGAACGTTTTCAAACATCAATGCACAGAACATACCCCCTAGGGCGGATATTTTGTGCATCAATGGTTTGTCTACATTCATTTTTTTTCTGTCCTGTAAAATTAATATAAAATGAGCGGAATAACTACACGGAAACGCTTGTATGATTTAAGCTATCATTTTAGCTTTGGTAAAATACAAATTGTTTTTTCAATGAATCAAGATGCACTGAACAGGCTCTACTATGATTCACTATATTTCCGGTCAAAAAAGGGCAGGCGGGAGTGATAATTGGTGCCTAGTTGCGCGCAGTGTTGCCCGTTGCAGCTGAATAACACAGCGCTTAGTGTTTTACAGATTCTTTTTAACCTTCTGCCGAATAATTCAGCAAGGTTTTCACAGTCTAATTGTTGCAGTATTACTACATCCGTTACAGTGTTATAATTGAAATGGTAAATAACAATAATTTTCCTTTCGGTTCGAATTATTATAATTTTCAAGTTGTTGAAGAATTTCGTTGGCGTGACATGGCAACAATGACTGACTGGTTGGAGCTTCATCACGGAATTTCGCCATTTTAGATTCACTCTTTTTGTCAGCACGTTGCGACGTTAGGCTTGAATAAGATTTCTATATTTTTCGGTGAAATATTTGGTAATTGGAAGAATTCCTATTTTAAAACGTTCTGTATAGAAGGACGATTGTCTGTAGTTGATTTATATAGAACTAGTCGTTAATATATGGGGGTAAACTGATTGCTCTTTGTTCTTGTCGAGTTGGGCGTCGAATCAATTGTGCTTATTTCTAGTTAGCTTTATCAACAGTAATTTATTGTAAAATGTAATTATTGGATGGTTGTTGAAAAGCTATCGTATTTTGGATTCGATCTTCGATCTACGACCCCGTGTACGAGTTTCCTCAAGGCTGCAATATGGTAAGATCAAAAGATAATCCAACAGATTATGCTAGAAATAAAATAGGCTTTTGTTCTGCTGTGTTATTATTTCCCCAAACTGTTCAAGTTCCTTTCGAATACTAGGAAATTCCAAATTTAATTTTCTTCGCCATTTTGTTCGGTATTACGTCACAGCGCGTCATGACTCACGCCATATTAGGCGGCATGTTCAAATTACTCATTTCATTTTCTCTTTGCAGCCACGCATCGATCCGTTGCAGCTCCTCAAGTGCCTTTCGGTCCTTCTCAGCCCAGATGGAGGTATTTTATCTCGTGACGAAGTTCCTCGGCTTGTGAAGTAAGTTGACGTTTTTAAAAATCAATCTAAACATCAAAACCCATACCCATTTGTACTTAACACTAATTTCAACATTGTTTTTTCAGCTTGATGACCAAATTCTCCAAGAAACTAGTCAGCAAATGCGTCTACGTCCTGATTATGAAGAATACAGAGACCAGCTTGGTCGACATGTTTATGGCGGAGGGAGGATGGGCGCTAATCCAGAATTGGTTACAGGACGCAGTGCAGACAGGCAATTGGGACTTAGTTAAGGAAATTCTTGGTTTGTTGCTCATCACTCCAGTAGACGTTGAAAGACTTAAAATGAATTGTCTGCCAAAGGTCATCAAGAGCTTGTCCCGCAGAGAGGATTTGCCCGGTAAGTTTTAAAAGCAATATATCCGTAGATATAGTTCGAATTACTAGTGGCGACGGGGTATTTTCACTTATTATTCGTGCTACTTAGAACAATCCTCAATAAGAGTAAAGCTAGGAAATTTTTTGGAAAAGTAGTCCACGTAAATGACGTTTTTTTCACATTTTATGGTTGTGTTGGTCCGTAATACTAAGGACCCGTCATATAGACAGCTATTGGCTCGATGTTATTAATTGCAACTAATCCGAAAAAAAGTATATTATGGGACAAGAGACGAAGTTGACGCCCGAGGCGATGCCGAGATTAAGAAAATGTCCTTTTCTTATCCCCTGGTGGAAAGTTCGTACTTTCGCCACTGTTTTCGATGGCGAAAACTTCACTTTTACCCATTACAAACTTTCTTCATCCCCTGACTGTTTTGCAACATTTTCGAAACCTTATATTTTCCCCGGCTGGTTTCCACCGATGATCATGAAAAATCGTATACGCTACGCGAGACGAAAGTCGAAGGCCCGCCACTGCATGCATGTCAACTTCAAGCAGTAGCGGAACCTCGACTTTCGTCCCTTGTACCGTAGTACACTATTAATTCCTATTATAATAATATAGTGCGGTAAATTGCCGCTTAAATACTAAGCTACTCGCATTTGCGTTTCGCGTTTCGATTGATTCTGCTTGTCAATACTTATTTTTCCTGGTCTTCCGCATAATTCAATTAAGCACATTTGGCACCAAGTGCCCTTAAGAAGGCATTGCCTCATAAAATATTGTGCACATGCAACGAACACAAGAGAATAGAATTACCCGCATGGAACTGATTTATTATTTGTTGCTAAATAAAACATTTTGTAAGGATTTTCCTCACATTTCCCAACCTTGAGAGCATTTTATATTCGATCAACATTTGTTAATGTGATGTTGTTTAAATCACATATTCCATCTGTGAATGTTTAAGGACGTATTTTTTGCAGTTTCAAGAGAATGTATCTTGCGCTTTATCTGAAAAGATGGTGTTATTTAATCTAGCTGAAAATTCATAAACCCTTTTTCGCCTTGGGCTTTTTCTCAGAACTAAAAAGAAAATGACCTGTCCAATCGGTAAACCTAACATAGTATTTCTACGTTTTGATAACATTACTTAATCGATTTACTTACATATTTGATGGTTATATAAGCTTATTGAGTGTTTTAATTAATTAATTTATTTATTACTAATTTTATTATTTTCGTAATTTCATAACATGTTCAGGCTGAAGTATATGAATTTTGAACGAAGTCCTTGATTTTGAAGCTTAAAGTTAAAAATTGTTGATTTAAATTGATTTACTTGTTTAATCTACAGTTTTCGAGTTTAGTTGGCAAAGATTTAATACATTTAAAGCTGTTCTGTGATTTTATTCACATCGCAACAGTAAATTTGTTTGATTAATTCATTAGCAAGTTAGTTCTAAATAGTGAACAATTAGTCAATTTTGTACGTATATTCTCGGTCTTCGTTTCGCCATGGGGTCATCGGTAGAAAATAAATACACTTTCATTGTTCCTGAAACTCGGACATTGAACTAGTCATATAATGAAAAATAGACTTATTGGTGGAAATTCGGACAAATTAATGTCTGCGTATCAACTTTTGTTCATCATTTTTATTGAATATTATTTCTTAGTTGTTTGATGTTTAATCCATCAAAAATTTGCAAATCTTGAACGCAAAACGAGAACTCTAGATGTCAGTTCTTCGAAACTTGAATTGAACAACCACCAACTGACAATGAGCGTGAACATATTTTTAGTGCAATAAGGCATCTTTTTCGGGCAAATACGCATTTTCTATCACATATATGTTAGCTTTATCTTTTTTTATGTTTAGTTAATATTTATTAGTTTTATATATGAGATAAATGCGCAAACACAATAACAAACTAAATACTTATTGTTGAATGGACTGTTTTTTCACATCTTATATTCCAAAAAAAGTTTTTTCACTCATGCTTTCGAAATACTCGAACTTTTAGATTTACATTAAAATATTCATAAGATAGAACTAGTTTAAATCTTCCTATACTACTTAATATTGGCAGTTCATATTTATCTTCACACGGGGCATTTCGTTTGCAACGGCAAGCAAGTGGAAAAAACGCCCTTAACTAAATCGTACAATCGACTTTTTCTTTTCTTTGCCCTAAGGCTAGATAAGATAAACTCAGCATCAGAATCTGAAAATTGAACATCGATTGGTTTGTTTCAGAAGTCGCCAACATCTCCAATCAGATAGTTCAGAATTGGTTGACGATAGTCAAGGGGTGCTCTGGGATGACAACATCGAACGGTCCTATTCGAGTTTCCCCTGCTCACTCCGACAATCGGGTTCCTGCCCAGAATGGAGAAGAATTCAACAAAAAGCCCGATGTTGCCGTTGATGCCCCTGAACCTGCCGTGTCTGTTCCAGTGGAAGAACGCAACGGCGAAGTGAACAAAACAAGTCTAGAAAATGTTGAGCCTATTGGGACAACTACTTTTTATAAAATGTCGATGAAAGATGGGAAGCAGGTTATTAAAAAAGTTACTCCTGAGGACAGTAAGAATGTAAGCGAGGATGACGAGTCGATCAAAAGCGACGACAATAAAATCAAACCAGTGGAGAAAGATGCGAAGTCCAGTGATAAAGAAAAGTCGTCTAGGTCGGCGTCGTCGTCCTCGAAAAGCAAATCGAGTTCTAGTAGTAGGGACAAAGATAGGGATAAGAAAGGTTCGAGTAAATCAAGCAGCAGTAGCAAAAGCAAATCAAGTAGTAGCAGCAGTCGAGATAAAGACCGAAAAGATAGAGATAAAGACCGCGACCGCAAAGATCGAAGCAAGAATAGCAGGTCCTCTTCTAGGTCCAACTCTAAAAGCAGCAGTAGTAAGGACAAAAAAGATTCCATAGAGAAGTCCAAGGAACCGAAGGAGGTTAAAGAAAATCAGGCCGATAAGGATAAGGATACTTTGGATAAAGTCAAGCCTCAAACGTTGGATAAACTGGGCAGGATTCCGAAGAAGTCCAACGGTTCTGATGAAAAGCAGAAGGAGAACAAGACCAGTGAGGAATCCGACAAAAAGAAGCCATCGTTCTCAATTCTTAACAGGAAGGGAACTGGCGAGGAGAGGTCCAAAACCGTGAAAGTCTTCAACGCAAAAATGCGCTCCACTGGATTGGAGGAAGAGGT